GAACGCCGGCCCGAGGCGGCGTGGGGCGAAGGCGCGAGCGGCCGCCAGTCTTAGGCCCGCGAAGACTGGCGTTAAGCTACGGAAGGTGGGGCCTGGGGCCCACGCGAGCGCCGATGGGGGCCGCGAGCTGGGCAGGAGGGAGACCCCCCCCCCCGTGCTCTCCTCCCCTCAGGCCGGCGCTGCTGCCCATCTGAGCACCCTGAACGGCACCGAGACTGGCATGCCTGATGGCCTAGTGCTTCTGCATCACCCACTGAACCCTGCCCCGTCACCTTCAAACTGGTTCCTGGACGAGTGGGGCCCCGGGTCATATTCAGACTCCCACGTGCCCTGAGAGCAGACCCACTGTTCAGGAGGGGGCGATGGAAGGGCCCCCCGAGGGTGGGGCTGAGTCCCTAGACTCCCAAGGCCATGCCACCGACTGGAGCTTTGCTGTATGCAGTCTTAGGGATGCCTGGGATGAGGAGGAACTTGCTGCCCAGGTCCAGGGCAAGGACCCTGGGCCTCCAAGATCACCGGCAGGGGCAGCCCAGGGTGAAGGGCTACATGGCAGTTGCCTTTCTGGGGAGCTGCTGTTACCCCCCGGGCAGATGGCTGTAGATGGGTCAGGGGATGGCCCAAAGGATGGATTAGGAGGTTCTTCAGTCCCATCAGGAGAACCAACCACTTCTGTTGTGGAGAGCCTCCTATGCCCAATGTCGGTGCAACTCAGCCTGGCACAGAGAGAGAGGGACAGCCATGGGGGAGGGGATCCAGTTCCAGGCAGGGAAGTGCCAGCCAGCTTTGGCCGTGGGGAGCTGGGTAGCAACTCTGTGGACCTTGGACACTCCTTACCTGAGACCTCGTCAGAGCTGCTGGAGACAGGTAAGAGAGGCAGGGCAAGGTTTCTTGGGAGTGGGGTTGCGTGGAGGGGTGCCAGGAATTGGTGGGGACTCTGGTCCTACCCAGGCTGAAGCCCATGTCTAAGGAGGGTCTGAGGGTAGGTGGCCCATTGCAGACCACAGCCATTTCCCTTTCCAAGACCCCAGCAAATCCAAACTTCCTAAGCTGGCTGACTTCCTCCTGGCCCAAGACCTCGCCTGGGAGCTGCTGGCCAGTGGCATGGCTGCCTTGCCAGGTAGCCAGGAGGTACTAGAGGTGGTCGAGGTGGGGTGACTTGATCAGGCAGGTGTTCACTGACTTCTCCCCGCAGGAACTCGGGATGTAGAAGGCCGGGCAGTGCTGCTTCTGTGTGCCCACAGCCCAGCCTGGCTTCACCCCAAGTGCAGCAGCCATGAAGTCACTCGCCTGTTGCTGTACCTGCGAAGCATCCCCAGGTTGGGGGGAAACAGGGTGGGAGGCAGGCTCCGAGACAGGAGGTGGCAGGCTCTGGCAGTTATGTGCTAAACCAAAGCTTGCCCCTTTAGACCCAAAGTACAGGCCTTGGGATTGACCGTGCTAGTGGATGCCCGAATTTGTTCCCCAAGTTCTTCACTCTTCTGGGGGCTTAGCCAATTGCAAGTGAGTACAGTATTACAACCCCTTCCCATGCCTCCCAGTGCTCGCACACCCCATTCCTTCTGTGTAGGGTTGGGTGGGTTAACTCAGATTCTTTTCAGGAAGCAGCCCCAGGGTCAGTGCACCAGGTACTGCTTTTGGGAAAAATGCCAGAGGAGGCACCTTCAGCGCTAAAGGTACTTAGTGGTGTTCCCAGGGGTGAAGGTGGGGTGTTTACCCTGTTAGGCCTGGGTCACTGCACCTTTTTGTTTCTTGCAGCTAGCGCAACTGCCTACTTACCAGAGCTTGCTGGCACACGTCTCCACTTCGGAGTTGCCTGCTTCACTGGGAGGAGGCTTGCCTTACTGTCACCAGGCCTGGATGGACTTCCGGATGGTCAGTGTGTGGGTGGGCACAGGCTGGGGGTACACAGGCAACTCGGCATGCAGGGCAGCTTTTCCTGGGGTGGTGTGAGAGTGTAGAGATGGCTGTGGAGGCTTGAAATCCAGGGTGACTGGATGAGCCCCATGTGTTGCTCTGGTCATGCCTGCCCTTGCTCACAGCGTCTGGAAGCCCTGTTGCAGAGCTGCCAGGTGGTTTGTGCCCTGCTCCGGGGGGCCATCGAGAGCATGAAGGCTGTGCCCCAGCCCGTGGAGCCTGGGGTAAGCATCCCCTCCCAAGGCCTCTCCAAATGCAGCTTGTCTCCTTTTCTCCCATGTCACCTCCACCTCTATTCCCTGTTGCCCTTAATCACAGGAAGTCAGTCAGCTGCTACAGCGGGCACAGGTCCTGATGCAACATGTGTTAGATTCACCCCGACTGGCATGGCTGCAATGCCAGGGGGGTTCGGAGCTGTCATTGCTGAAGCAGGAGGTCCCAGAGGTGACCCTAAGTCCAGACTACAAGTAGGTGCCAGCCCATCTCCCTGATTTTGCCCCAGCCCAACATATCCCCTATCAGTGACTCAGAACTGGCTCAGAACCAGCCAGGATTGTGGGCCCAGGACAGGGTGTAGTAAGACCTGGTGCCCTGTACTAGGCCAGCGGTGGATGAGGTGGACGAGCTGTATGGCCATGTGGATGGGCTGCTGCACCAGCTGACCATGCACAGTAACCAGCGCATACAGGCCCTGGAGCTGATCCAGACGCTGGAGGCCCAGGAGGGCGGGCTGCACCAGGTGGGAACTGTGCACCTGGGTGGGCCCTGTTCTCCATCTCAGGCATCATGCTCCCCCCGCCCAGCAGCTCCCCATTCCCTGTTTGTGTCCTCCAGATTGAAGTGTGGCTGCAGCAGGTGGGCTGGCCTGCACTGGAGGAGCCAGCGGAGCCCTCGCTAGACGTGCTGCTGCGGGCCCAAGGCTCATTTCAGGAGCTGCACCAGGTCGCCCAGGTGAGGACAGAAATGCAGGGTGGATGAAAGCAAAGCTGTCCTTTCTCTCTTAGAATCTAGCCTTTAAAGGTTCAAAGTCCTATATGTGTGTTTGCGAGTCTGAGAGAGAAACAGTGCAGATGGCTCTTCCTGAATGTGTGACAAAGACATGATAACAAGGCTCTTGGTGAATTGAGCTGAGCAGAGACTAGGTCTGGGGGACGGGCAGTGTAAAGAATGGGGAGTGAGGGAAGATTTTCTGTCACAGTGTGTAGATGTCAGTGGAAAAGCTCTGAGCTTAGACCACTAGACCTGGCCAACTGAATGCAGTCTCTGTCTCCAGGAACAAGTTAGGCGAGGAGAACAGTTTCTGCAGCCCCTAACTGGCTGGGAGACAGCTGAACTGGGCCCCAGGGGTGCCCACTTTCTGGCTCTGAAAGCCCAGCTGACTGAATTCTCTAGGGCTCTGGCCCAGCGGCGCCAGCGACTGATAGACGCTGAAAGGCTGTCAAGATTCTTCAAGCAGGTGTGTGAGGGGTCCTGTCCTTGATCCCAAGTGTTCCCTGGAGCTATACCAAAGCCTCATAATCCTGCCTGTTCATGTTTTCCATCTAACCCCAAAACTCAGCCAGTGAGCCAGCCAGCCTTCTGCAGGTTGGGGAGGCTAGGGGAGAAGGCACTGTGGTCTCAGTGGAACCCTCATTCCGTACCTTTGTGTTGCAGGCCTCCACATGGGCTGAGGAGGGACAGCGGGTACTGGCAGAGCTGGCCCAGGACTGCCCTGAGGTCGTGCTGCAACAGCTGCAGCTGCACTGGGCCAAGTACCCTGACCTGCCTCCTGCCCATTTCCGAAAGATGTGGGCTCTGGCCACAGGGCTGGGTTCTGAGGGTATTCGCCAAGAGTGCCGCTGGGCCTGGGCACGCTGCCAAGACACCTGGCTGGCCCTGGACCAGAAGCTGGAAGATGCACTGAAGCCGCAGCCACCAGTGGGCAGCACAGCCAGCCTAGGTGTCAGCCAGGCCCCGGGTGAACTTGCCACCCCGCCCCTGAGGAAGGCTTACAGCCTTGATCGGAACCTGGGTTGGAGTCTCAGCAAGTCGGCCCACTCCGGCCATCATGCAGCAGCCATTACGGCTGCTGGCCATGGACCAGAGGCTGGAGGCGGTGCCCAGCCAGGGTGGTCTTCCACCATGCCGCCACCGGGCAGCCCTTACCCCAGGAGCCCAAGCAGGTGCAGACAGTGGGCAAGGCAGGGAGGGCAGTGGCAGGGCAGATGTCTTGGGTCCTGACTCCCCCTGCCCTGTAGGCTCCAGCTGGTGCTGGCAGAGATGGTGGCTACGGAGCGGGAGTACGTCCGTGCCCTGGACTACACCATGGAGAACTACTTCCCTGAGCTGGATCGCCCTGATGTGCCCCAGGGCCTCCGTGGTCAGCGTGCCCACCTCTTTGGCAACCTGGAGAAGCTGCGGGACTTCCACCGCCATTTTTTCCTGCGTGAGCTGGAGGCTTGCACCCGACACCCGCCCCGGGTAGCCTATGCCTTCCTGAGACACGTGAGTGCCGTGGCCCACAGGCCTCCAGCTGATTCTGCCACATGCATCCAAGAACTGATGAGTACATGCTTGGGGACAGGCCTTGCTGGGTACAGCTTTGGGCGAGACCGGCGAGGCCCCTGCCCTTCAGGGACTGCATAGTTTAGTATAAGAGACATACAAGCGAAAAAAGGTTGTTCCAGAGCATAGCTAGGAGAGGGAAAAACCAGCCTAGACAGGTGATTGTGAGTTAACGAGGGGACGACTCCGCCTGAGTAAGAGCAGTTTGAGAAAGCCTCGAGAAGCTAGCTTTGAGCAGGCCAGGCGGTGCGGCTGGGGTCAGAGCACTGCATCAACAGGGAAGACAGCACAAAGCCTTGGGGCAGGGAGGGGAGGCCCAGTGGTTAAGGGACTGCTCCGGGTGGCTGAGCTGGGGTTAAGGAGAGGAGGGTCAAGGTGAAGCAAGGCTCAAGCAGTGTTCTCAGATTGCAGAAAGAGCAGAGCTGGACACGGGCCACATTCCTGAGAGGGCCTATAGGCAGGCTCCCTCTGCATAGCGCTACTTTTCTTTCTTTCTTTTTTTTTTAAAGATTTATTTATTTGTACATACAGAACTGGGGTACAGGCCAGAGGCTCAGGGGTGGCGAGAGGCTTCACCAGGGACAGAGCGGGGAGCAGAACAGGCAGATCGACCAAGTACACTGCTGAGGGGAGCAGGGGCGGGTCAGGAGAGGTCTGCCACGCTATGTGGTCACCTCCAGGGCAGGCAGGAATCGAACTCATGCGGAAGCAGCTTTAGCTTCTCAGTGCTGTGCTTTAACCCGCTGCGCCACCAGGGAGGGCCCTCTTTTTCTTTTTTTTTAAGATTTATTTATTTATTCATACAGAACTGGGGTACAGGCCAGAGGTGCAGGGGGTGAGAAGATTCACAAGGGACAGAGTGAGGAGCAGAACAGGCAGATCGACAAAGTACACTGCTGTGGGGAGCAGCTGCCGTGCCATGTGGGTCAGCTCCCCAGCAGAGTATTGAACTCGTGCTGAGGTGGCTGGGGCTCGCTTCATAGTGCTGTACCCCAACCCATTGCGCCACCAGGGAAGGCCCACTGCGTCTTTTCTTGTCAGGTCACCCCTCATCTAGTGCAGGGCAGGTGGGAGCTGCGAGGGAAGGTGTCCCTGGGGCCATCCTTTGGCACAGTCCTCTCAAGCTGAGGCTGATGTGGCCCCTTGCACCCGCCTGAACTCTGTGTCCTCACAGAAGGTGCAGTTCGGGATGTACGCGCTCTACAGCAAGAATAAACCTCACTCTGATGCCCTGATGACCAGCTGTGGTCACAGCTTCTTCAAGGTAGGGGGACCCGAGACTGGGGGGGAGGGAGCACCCTGAAACCTCCTCATGGTCCCTGGCCACCTGCAGGACAAGCAGCAGGCGCTGGGGGACCGCCTGGACTTGGCCTCCTACCTGCTGAAGCCCATCCAGCGCATGAGCAAGTATGCCCTGCTGCTGCGGGAGCTGGCGCGGGCCTGTGGCGGGCCTGTGCAGGAGCTGAGTGCCCTGCAGGCTGCCCAGAGCCTCGTGCACTTCCAGCTGCGCCACGGCAACGACCTGCTGGCCATGGATGCCATCCAGGGCTGCGACGTGAGTCATCAGTCTGTGGTGGGAGGGGCCTGACGGGAGGAGGGGAGAGACGGGCCATCCACTGGGCCTCCACTTGACAGGTTAACCTCAAGGAGCAGGGGCAGCTGGTGCGGCAGGATGAGTTCACGGTACGCTGTGGGCGCCACAAGTCCCTGCGCCGCATCTTCCTCTTTGAGGATCTGTTGCTCTTCAGCAAGCCTCGGAGAGGGCCCACGGGCGTGGACACATTTGCCTATAAGCGCTCTTTCAAGGTAGGTCTGCCTGGCTCCACTTCTGCCCTCTGCGGTCCCAGACCTTCTTCACACCGCCTCACTGAGCCCCTCTCCGCAGATGGCAGACCTTGGCCTCACCGAGTGCTGTGGGGATAGCAACCTACGTTTTGAGATCTGGTTCCGTCGTCGCAAGGCCAGGGACACCTTTGTGCTGCAGGCCACCAGCTTGGCCACCAAGCAGGCTTGGACAGCTGACATCTCCCGCCTGCTCTGGAGGCAGGCTGTTCATAACAAGGGTAGGTTCCTGCCCCCTACTCATCCCATATTCCATTCTCCTCCCCACAGAGTTAGCAAGGACTGGAAGCACTTGGGAGGAGGTCCAGCGGCAGTGGCCAGTACGGGGGAAAGATCAGGGGGTCCCCACTGCTGTCACTGACACATCATTAACCTCTCTGAGTAGCAAAGGCCTTGTCTTTAAAAGCCAGTTGTGACACCTGCCCACCAGGTTGTTAAGGAGCCTGGCAACAGAAAGGCTTGGTGCCAGGAGGCAATTCTGTTGGGCCTGGGGGTACAGGAAAGACTTAAGGGCAAAGGGTGGATAGAAGCCCAAGGGTAAGGCTGGCATCCAGAGGCCCCAGCTATGTTTTCTCTTCACCCAGAGGTGCGCATGGCTGAGATGGTGTCCATGGGTGTGGGGAGCAAGGCTTTCTGGGATATCGCCCCCAGCGAGGAAGCTATCAACGACCGCACCATCAACTACATCCTAAAGTGCCAAGGTAGGAAGATTGCAGGGCCGGGGTAGGGAAAGCCGTGCGTGCGGCAGGGTGGCCCCGTCAGCCTGTCTGTGTGCCCCTTTGGACCTTGGCCCAGATGTGCTCAGGCCTGCCCCAACCTGACCCTTTCTCTCGTGCAGAAGTTCGCTCTCGGGCTTCCATTGCTGTGGCTCCGTTTGACTATGACAGTCCCTACCTGGGGGCCTCAAGCTCGCATCCCGGAGACCTTGCTTCTTGCTCTGTACTGGGCTCCCTCAACCTGCACTTACACAGAGATCCAGCTCTCCGTGGCCTCCACCGGCCCCTGTATTCCACCAGCTTCGCAGAGGATGCAGCCCTGGAGGCAGAAGCGGAGCTGGCTAGCCAGCCGTCTCTGAGTAGGTCTGGGCTTGTCCAGAGGCGGGAGGGCACGGCTCAGTCTCGGCCACCCTCCTGACAGCTCTCCCTTCCTAGCTCCTGAGGATTCAGAGGTCTTATCTCAGTGCCCATCCGCCAGTGGCTCTAGTGGCTCTGATAGCAGCTGTATGTCAGGGCAGGCCCCAGGCAGAGGCCTGGAGGACTTATCCTACGTGAGTACTGTTTTGTCCTCTGCATCATTCCTCTCCCCAGTCCATCCCAGGGCCTAGGGCTCTTTTCCAAGCTGAAAATGGTGGGGGCGGGGGGTGGTAGTTACTCCCCAGAGATTCCACCTGACCCCGGAGCTGGGAATCAGGGATTCATGCTAACTTGCACCACAGGTCTGAGCCTGGGCTGGAAGGCAGGCGTGGACCCGGTAGCCTGTGACTCCGAGGAACGCCACCTCGCTCTGGGTCTGCCGTGACCAGGCCACGACTAGCCCGACACCTCCTGCCCACGTGAATACTCTGATGTCTGAGCCCACTGGACACACTGGCAGGGTCTCTCCAAAAGAGTGACAGCAGAGTCTGTATGAAAGAACACCCTGGCTGTGTGCCCTTCTTAATGTCCCCTCAATGTCCCCCCTTTCTCATGTCACCTCAGCTATGGTTTAGAATTAGGCTAGAGCAGAGGGTGGGTGTCTCCATGCTATAGGCTGGAGGGACACCAGGTGGCTCTGGCAGTGACTGGGCTGGTCCCCTCAGCAGGAGCATAGGTGGGCTTCCAGGAGCTACTTCCCAGGCCCTGGCCTCAGCCAAGTTCCCCAGCTTGTCTAGGAGTGAGCCCAGTTCTACTTAATCCTGTTCTCACCTACCCCGGCTCTCTAGACCCAGTCCCCCTTTTCCTGGGTCAGTTTGGTTTTATTGACTCAGTACTTCTGAACAACTTTCAGTTAAGAGTTGTCTAAAATTATTTCACTGTTGTGTCTTTGGCATCCCAGAGACTCACGCCCTTGACTTGTGATTTACTCTTTATTCTCATAATAAAAAAGACTGTTACACATCCTTGGGGTCACCCTTGTTAAAATGAACCTTGCAGGTGGGCAGAGTGTCTCTGGGCCCTCTAGCCCTCTTGTAAGTACTTGCCCAGGATGGAGTACGAGACAGACCTGGAGAGGCCCCTCTGGATGAGCAGGTCCACGCAGCGGCCATATTTCCTGGCGAAAGGCAGTGTGAGCTAGGAGGAAAGGCTGGTCTTAGCCCCAGTTTCCCGGCCTGTTTCCTACTCTAGCTGGGGTGGGGTGGGGGGCTGCAGGGAGCGCTCCTCCCATCTGAGCAGGGTCAGGCCAAGGCTCGATGGAGACTCTGATGCTCTTGGACTAAGATCCGCCCAAAGGCAAAGGCATCTTACGGATTGTGGCTCCCAGGGAACTGAGCAGAATGACCAAAGAGTCAAAATGTTTCTTGCCACTGTCTTTCTACTTTAGAGCTGTGACTGCCTTTTTCCAAACCAGAGAGAGGCTACAGTAATTGGCTGCTAGGGTGTTCATGGTGAAAAGTGTACTCGGTTACAAAAATACCATATTCATGAGAAATTGGCTGATTTTTTTCATCTGTAGCCTTAAAATAAGATTGAACCCTGTAATTATTTTAAGGAGTCAAAAAAGCAAAACAAAACATCTGGGTTCTTTCTTTCCCTTAAACACTTCCTTTGTAAGGACTGATTTAAAGCCTCTTAAATATGAAAAGAAATCATGGCTAAATAGGTGATAAAGTTGGTACCATGTGTTGAAAACGACCAACTTCAAGTCGTTTCTCTGATTTCAGCACCCCAAACACTTAGGCTCATATGGTATGCCTTCCGGGAAGCTTGTTGGTGGGGAAGGCAAAATTGACATCATTGGAAGCCTGAGAACTGAATAGTGTTTTTGCCCACTCTGGACTAGTCATTTTCAGCTGTTGGGGGCCAGAGGACTAGCTGCCTGGCTGGCCTCTGGTCAGTGCGGGGCTGGCACTTGTGCAGCCAGTGCAGCAGCGTCCATGTGAGGTATCCGCGGGGTCTCCACCTGCCAAGGGATGCAGGCAGCTCTCACCTCCACCCAGCTGTACAGGCGTTCCTGGGTGTGCCGGTCATCCTTGAAGCCAGTTATGGCCAGCAAGTCCACCACAAACTGCTTGGGGCTGATGTGCAGGGTCTGCCATGAGAATCTATGGTCAGGAAGGGCGAGGGGGAAGCTCCTAGATATACATTTGCTCCCAGCCCTGCCGAGTAGGATGTGGACCTGGCTCTGTCCTGGGCCTGCAGAAGCCGCAGGTGTCGGGACACTATCACTCCAAACTGTCTCCTGGCCAAAGCTTCATCCAGATATGGCTGCCCTGTCTTCCTGTCCCTGTACTTGTTATGCTCTGCCCCTGACCTCTTTCCATTACCCTCTACCCTCCACCCCCAAATGCGTTATTTCCTCTCGCCTTGCAACACTTACTGATGATGCAAGGGGACAGGCAGAGAAGGACGGCCTGAATCTTTCACACCTACCCACAGCCGGTGGGCCAAGGAGACCACCTTGGCTGTGATGGCTTTGGGGTCCTTTTGCCTGATGGAGTCCAGGATGATGTCGGTCAGGAAGCGGTGACATTTCTGTGCATAAAACATCTCTTCCCAGGACAGAGAGAAACTAAGGAAAGTCACCTCTGTGGAGGAGAGAGAGGAGATGTGGCCACATATGGCTGCAGCTAGAGCCTTAGAGCCACCCTGAGTAGGGGAGAGGTGTAGGGCTCCTGAGAGGGACTTATTTTCCCTGAAGGACCCTGGGTAGAGGTACAGGCAGCTCTCTAATAGAGGAAGTGCAGGGTGGACGTGGCCCCAGAGCTTCACCTTGGGGCTGGGGACTGGTTGTGGGTGGCGTGTGCCTGAGGTTGTCCATCTGTGTAGTGTAGACGATGCTGTCCTCAAAGAACATGCACGAGCCATCACTTCCCACCACGGGGGGGTGGGTCACTTTTAGGATGACTCCTGCATTGTCCACTTCACTGGCCTCAGGCAGAGGCTGCTCAAGGCTGGGACTTTCTGTGGAAAAAAACAACAACAACACAGGGAGTGACTCCTTGTTAGCTACCTCAGAACCAACTAAAGAAGGGGCCTCTGTTGACAGACCAGTACAGTCAGCCACCCACTCTCCAGCAGCTGCTACCTCCAGTTTCTTGGAAGTAGCACCCTGGCCCACCTTGGCTCTCCTGTCTTCACTGTCCTGGAATCCTTGCAAGACACATCCTAAATTTCAGGATGCCAAAGAACTCTCTTAATTTCTTTGTTGAACTACGAGTGGTATAAACAGGGCCAGTAACCCTGCTGAGGACTGCAAAACTATAAAATGAGAGAGTCTTTTTGGGCAAGCCTTTTATTCATGTCCACTCTGAAAGGTACACTTCGTAGATCTATTTTACAGCCCAGAAGGCCCTCCAGGCAGGGTGGGAGCAGCTATCAGGGAAGGTGACAGTGCTCTAGAGAGGACTGAGGGAGCAGAGGAAGAAGCTCTTTGTGGCAGTTACTGCATCTCCTCAGACTGTCTCACCCGCCCCCCCTTCAGCCCGTCCCATAGCCCTATCTCCTGGTCGCCTCCCCTGGCTGTTCCCAGCAACTTGATGCAGTGTGTTCTCTGCAAGCCCTATTCCTATTCATCCCACCTCAGTCACGGCCCATACCCCTTGCAGTCCCCCAAGATGGAAATTCGTACTCTCTTGAGGAGTCCTTGCCTGCTTCCTCCCCCAGCTCCCTAACCTAGTTCATCTGGAATGACCTTGGGCCTTCTAACACTTCCCCCCCTGCTGCTACATGTCCTCTGCCCCTGGAGAAAGCTTTCTGACCACACACCTCACTGCTTGCTTCCTTGTTTATAATGCTTCAGTAGCTGCCCACTCCCCTTAGGGTCAGAACCAAGTGCCAGAGCCTGAAGTTGGCCCACAAACCCTGCCCTGATTAGATATATATATCTTCAGCCTTATCTCCCTCACTTCCACGTGATGCCAGGTCTCCAGCCAGACCACAAGCTTGCTTCTCCTCTCCTTGTCGAGTCCCCAGTCTCCCTTGTCTCCTAATACTTGACAGGCACCCTCTTCCGATAAGCGGTATGTGGTCTCTTGGCCCCACCAGCCATCAGTGTGTGGTCATTTCTGTTCTGCTACTTGGTAGAGCTGGCCCCAGGGAGTAGAGCGTTCTAATTTATTGCTCACTCTGCTCCTGATCAACATTGCCTTTTTCTCAATGAAACTTAGGTCAAGGACCGGCCAGGACTCACCTCTCTCCTTTGTTCTCTGTTTGCCCCAGTCCTTCAGCATGACCGCTCTTTTTGTGGGGAAGTACGGCTTAAAGGTTGGCTCTGGTCCTTTCTCTTTGGCTCCAGTTCCTGTCTGCAGACCTGAGTCCTTTTCTGAGACTGTGGAATGGCCTTTCCAGGAAGCTGAGGTGCTGGGCTGGGAAGCAGCCTCATTTCCCGAGGGGAGCTGCGGGGCGCCCTCCTCTAAGTTACTGCTCCGGGGGACTGACAGTGGCTGGAATTCCCACTGTTTGCAATTGACCATGTCCCATTCCCTTACCAGGGAGATGAGTTTTTGCATGGGGGTGACAGGAGGGTCTTTGGTTTCAGATTTCTGTGTGAGGTTGACTGTGTTGCACTTCTTTTTAGGGGGACTCTCTGGGTGGGCCCCCCAATGTCTGGGGTTGGCACAGAGGCCAGGACAGTGGGAATATGTGCTGGGACTGCCCACCCTCTTGGCACTTCGGCACAAGGACACCTGGAAGGTCCGCGAGTACTGCTCAGCATCCTCCATCTGGCTGGGCCTGGCCAGAGTCCCTGTGGCCTTGCTCCATGGAGTCCTGTCATTGCAGTCTTGGAAGTCCACAGGCATGCAGGCTGTGGTCTAGGGGAGAAGCGCACAGCAGCTCTGGGCGTGTTGTGTTTCCACATCAAAGCCTCCCCAACATCTAATAAGCTGGGTTTCCAACACTTCCATTTGTTTACCCAGAACAATCCCATTCTCTACACGCGTCAACCATTGAGGCCCGCTCCAACTGAGCGGGGCTGGTCTCAGTGCTGGGCCTCTTGTACTCTAAAGGGACCTATCAGGAACATCCCAGGCACAAATGGCTCGTGCGGCCCTGTCTCCTTCAAGGTTCAGAAAGTGGTCGCTGTGCTAGGAACGCGCGGAGGCCCATTTTGCCATGCCCCTGAGTAGTGGGCTGCCCTCCGGGCCTGTGGTGGTGCTCTGAGGACACTAGCAGACCACAGAAGGCCGGGGCTTACTTCTTTCGCTTGTCTACTGAACTCCACTAGGGACCCTGGCCCTTCTGTCACCACGTGTAGCCTCCTGATGGGAAAAGCTTCTTCACTTTCAGATTCTTTCTCCTGGGTCCATGACCTGCAGACTCCAAGAGGGGTTGGTGAGTAAGCAGAAGCTTCCACTAGCTCATCGACCAGTTGCTCAGGTCTGCTCTTTGGTCGTGCGGGGAAAAGGCTTCTTGTCTGGTTTGGCTTAGGTCAAGTCCAATCCTGGGCCTGCTCCACCCTCTTAACCCCAAAGATGTAGGACTTAGGAAAGGACTCCCAGGAGGAATGTTAAAATCCAAACTCTTAAACCATGGTGTCTGGAGCAAAGTTTCCTTACTTGTATGCCTCACATTGGGCAAGGGCTTCTGAGAGGGAAGGGATGTGGTATTCCTCCACCTCCTGGCAGAAGAGGGGCCACTCCCTGCAAATGACAAAGAGATCTCGGACTGGGCACCTGGGCAGTGCCCTGGGGCATAAGCCCCCAAAGTTGCTGCTGCCCTGGACAGCAGTCACGTGTCGGGAATGACATAACCTCCTCCCTGAGGCTGCAAACTCAAGCTTCCTTCGTTATAGAGGGAGGATGGGTATCATCACTCCATTTCTTCACTTACTTAAACTCAGATGGCAAAAACAGTTTCCCAAGCCTCAGGAAGTTGAGGATGTGTCGGAACATTTGGCCATCACCGTGGATCAGCAGGGTCTGTCCATATGTAATCCAGTACACTCTCTGAGGGTTGGACAGCAGTTCTGGATACTGCAAGGGATGGACACTATTAGTGTGTTAGTTAAAGGGCTAGGTCACAAGTCAAGGGCAGCTCGGCCTTCTTTCTATTTTCCTGATCCTTGTAGAATGGAGGTTTTGGGGTTCTCACCTCCCTGTCTTGTCAGCCACACACAGCCAGAGAGGGGAGTGGAGCATACCGGGAGAGAACCTTCATCTCTACTTCTGTTTTTGCCTGCCCCAAACCACCCCCGTAAGGCACCTTGCTGCCTGTTTGATCCAGCCTCCTCAGATTGTCCTTCTTTCTCCCCAAACACCCGAGGACCTCCCCAGGAAACTGTTGACATGATAAAAGCAATTTGGTACAAGGAGAAAGGAGAAAGTCCTTGATCCAAGCAGGTGCTAGAGGTTGTGTGAGTGTGAGGCGACCAAAGCTGAAGCCAGAGAGTGAGGGGGACAGACGGGGGTGGCGATACCTTCAGCAGGGTCTGCAGCGTGGTTGCGTACCAGTGGCTGCCCACATAAACTTTGATGATCTGTTGAGGGGAATAAACGGTGATTTCTGCGGTCCACTCCTCATCTAAGGAAACCAATGAGAAGGAACAGATCACATGGCCAGAAGCATTTGGATCAAAAAAGTTCTGTGTGGTAAGACCGTCTTCATCAGAGTTTCTGTGTCGCCTACTGTGAACAGAAATCCGACACTAACCTTTCTTGCCACGCAGGCCTTTCCTGTGGCTCACGCTATGGCCTCCTCGGCTAAGGGCGGCGGCGTTATGGGTCCCCCGCTGACTCACGTGGGGTGGGAGGCAGTAGGGCTCAGCTCTCTGGAATCTCACCCCAGCAGCCTTGCTCCTCTTCCCTTCACCCACCTCAAGGAAGCTGTTCCTGCCTACCCATGTTGCGGACTGCCTCTGGTTTCTGGTTGGGTGTATCCCGAGTGTAACTTTTCGTGTGGCCACTCAGACTGGAGCTGTAAGTCCTTCTGTGTGTTTGTGCTTGTGATCTGGCAATGTCATCAAGCCAGCTCGCCTGGAATCACTATCAGTTCTTTAGAGACCGGTCTCCAGACATGTTTGGAGAAGGGGGTTTTACTCCGGGAAGAGGTACTCAGGACCTTTTCTTTGGTGGTGACTATATTTAGGTTTTGTTCTGATGTTTGGGAACTGGTTTCTCATGAGCGCTGTAATGAGTGAAGGGTAAATAACTAGGTTACATAACCAAGAGAGAAAAGGTGCATAATTAGATGAGAGCTCCCTGAAGATAAGGACTGGGTCTGTTTTGCCCACTTGAATCCAGGGCTGTCCTCTCGGTATGTGATAGGCGTTCAATAAATGTTGAATGCTGGTGAATGAGAGTAACACAACTTAAACCTGACATAACAAATTCTGTTAGTAAGAGGGTATAGGCAGCAGTAAACTTAGATTCCAACCCTAGCTTGACCATTATCTAATTTTGTAATTCAAGTAAGTTACCTCCCTGAACCTCTGCTTCATCTGTCACATTAAGTCAGGGCTGTTCCTCCCTGGATGGCTGTGAGGACCAAATGAGCAGTGTGTCGGCTTGCAGGGCCGGAGCAGGCGTGGCCTGGGGGCCTAACCTCGCACACTGGATCCGTCTGTACTACTCAGTCTGTAGAGCAGGTTAACCTAAGGCCACTGTGCGTTTGGGGTGAGGAGGGGGTCACTTAATATAAAGATTGTCTTTTAGGCAACCCCCACAAAAGTTGGGCTGTTTTTCCTTTCTTCTATCTATAGTACCTGACCCGGGAAGCGTGGTCTCTCCTCTCCAACCCCCTAGACCCTCCCTTAATACTGAATTTGAACCAAGAACTTCTTCACTTACTAAGTCCATCCATGGGTGCCAGAGTCCTTGGCTCCAGATGAGTCTTTAGTGCCACTTTCATCGGCTCATAGGTGATGTCCCTCTTGTCCAAGAAGGCACAGAGCTCGTATACCTCAGAAATGGTCTCGGTCAAGGGCAGCCGGCAAGTCCCGAGCCAGTTCCTGGCCAGAGGAGAGCCCGGTCATACAGAAGCTCAGCACTGTATTCCCCAGGCACCCAGACTGACAGCTTTCTGTGTCTACAGTGTCTTGTCCTAACAAACTCATGGTCACTAACATTTCCTTAATTTAACCAGAAATCTGGTGACATTCTAGGAGGAGGACAGGACTGAACACATAGGCTCACTCTTTTGGAGCTGAGCTTGACCTATTTCAGCAAAGTCCTCTAAGCTAACTAATTGCAAGCCTCTAGGCCGTGTCTCAGCTTTCAGAAGCCAAGCCAGGATCCAGCCATTTCCTTCTTGCTCCCACAGGTATTTGCCCAAGACTTGGCAGTCATAGTGTGGCAGCCAGCCATGGTCTTGAGAGATTATTAATACCTTGGTGCTCAGGAGAGGGGCGGGGATCTGAACATCAAGCCTCCAGACTTCAGAGGTACTTTGCCCTCTGTGACATCAGGGTCGGGACATCTTTGGGGCACATGGATTGTGGTGACAATATTCGGGTAAGTACATTTGAGTTAGTCGAACCTCATTGCCAGGGGCTCAGGAAAACCCACTCTACCTTTAGTTTGGCACCAATGTATTTTGTGACCCTAAGAGAGTAGCTTCACTCTGACCTCAGTTTACTCTTCTATACAACAGAATTGGAATCCACACCCCACACTAATGGGGACTTTCTGAGCTTGTCCTTCAAGGCAGGAAGACTGGTGTCACCTCCTCTGGAAAGGCTGCATGGCTTGTTTCTGGAGGGCTTAGCCCTGCCTCTCACCTCTTTGTACATTAGTGGGCGAAGGTCCTTGCTGGAGGGTCTGCCTGCCCAGAGAGGGCTGGGGAAACACCTAGCTCTTTGAGCTTGTGACTGTTGCCTAGTTACCTTGAACCCTAATATAGGGCTAGAACTGAAGCAATGTTTTACTGGCACAGAAATATAAAACAGGGCCTCCTTGGTGGCACAAACGGTTAAGTCTCAGCATTATGAAGCTGTCACTGCCACAGCAACAGGATGAGCCCCAGCCAGGGAGCTGACCCACATGGTGCAGCAGACCTCTCCTGTCTCCTTGCTATTCCCCTCAGCAGTGGATTTCAGTCCATCTGCCTGTTCTGTTCCCCACTCTGTCTCTGGTGAGTCCTCTCACCCCCACCCCACCTCTGGCCTGTAACCTGATCTCATATGCATAAATAAATATTTAAAAATATATAAAGCAGCCAGAAGACCTTGAACCTTGGTCATGTTCATTCCCTGGCACCAGCTTTCTCCTCTGAGGCCCGACCCTACACCCTACAGTAGACTATAGTGAGGGGGTGTTACAGTGATAGATTTGCCCCAAGTGTACTACTTTCCCCTGGCTCCTGGGCGAGGCTCCAGGTTGGTCCTTAGAGAAAGGGAAAAAGCCCAGCCTGAACGGGACTAAGCTGTTCCTGGTGGAGCCCTTACTTGACATGCTGGAAGAGGACCCCGTTCCCCGTGATGTACAGTCTGCTCCCGTCCAGGGTGCTCTCGATGCGGAGCTGCCCCAGGGCCGAGTCTGGGTACTTGACCAGCAGGCCCAGGGCCATCGTGTACAGTGGTTTCACAGACTCCAGGCCTGCTGCACGGCCCCCCTTCCCAGGACTCGGGGGAGGACAAGAGGTCCGGGAACAGCCACCTGTGCCGAGAGAAAGGGGTGACTCATGGCCGTAAGGATCAGAAGCTTTGGGTCTCACTCCTACTGCTGCCTTCGGTTAGTGTTAAAGAGACTTAGAAGGAGGTTTTTTCCCTTGTTCAACTCAAATCAGGATCGTCTCAAAATCAGCATAGTTTTTTTTTTTTTATATATCAGGTTTAGGAGTCAAAACTTTATTTGCTGGAGGTGGGACAGGAGGGTAGTTTGCTGCATCTAACATCTGTATTTCAGTGTAGGGATCTCCCATAGTCCCAGGTTTTATTCTATTTGAGGATAAACCAAGCAAAGCAGATGTGTGCTACAGGCTTGTGGGACCGATAGCCCCTATTGTTTCTGGGCAGAGTTTTCCTAGGGACACAGAGTGGTTACTTTCAGATTGGGTATCTGAGTTGCTGGCCCCCACGGGTGGAACCTTGTTCTGTTGCCATGGACACAGTACATAGGGTTCAGGACCTGTCCCAGCAGCAACATGGGCTGGTGGACAAGATGCTGGGCAGTTTTCATGGGTCTTCTCTAATCCTCAGAGCAGCAGAGGGGTAGAACTATCCTGGTATCACAGATGAGGAAGCTGTCCTGAGAGGGTTAAGCACCTTGCCCCAAATTACGAAATTAGGCAAGGACAGAGCGATGATAGACAGCAGTCTGTCCAATTGCAATGCTACTGGAGCTGCTTCCCTTGGTTATGGTGCTTCACACTTAGGGCTGCTATATGGCCCACAGAGCCTGTCTGTAACACAGCACATCTTCCATCTTCACACAGTTCTTGTGAAGCAGGCACACTCTGTCTGTCTTTCAATCATCCAAGATCTCAGAGGAACAGAAACTCTTGAGGAAGGGGTTTAACTTAAACTCACAATCTTGTAAGACCCAGGGGCAGGCTCCTGAGACCTACCGCAGGTCTCAGGTCACTACTCTCAAATAGTAGGTAGGACTCTATTTCCCTGGGGAGGAGTTTGGGAGAGGTGGCCCTAAAGGCAGGGACAGGCCTTTTCCTATGGGATACCTGTCTGTGTGCAAACCTCTCCTGTGTGAGAGAGTTTTAGGCATTTTCAGAATGCCAGCTGAGGCCACGCAGGTAGCGTGCTCCCTGCGATGAGCATAGCAGGCCCCACAGATGTGCAGGATGAGGAGGATGGGAAGACAGCCAAACAATGTGGAATGAGGTTGGGCCTAGAGTGTGGAGGCCTGGCCTGAACCAGGGTTAAGAAGTCTCATAAACAGGCAAAGCATCCAGGAGTTTCCAGCAGGTGGCAAGGGGAGTTGGGAGTGGGTGGGATGACTGAAGCATGAGGTGGGGGCTGGGGGCTGTCTTCCAGCTGTGCCCAGAGAGGAAGGATGGGCATGGTGGGAGGGCACTGAGTGTTCTCCCCCTGGCCACTTCCACAAGAAAGGCCCACTGCCTCTGCCCAAGAAACCCGCCCTTGGTCCCAACCTCTCTCCCCAGAACATTCCGATCTGGGTTCCCACCCAGGCTGTGCTGAGCCCTTCACAGCTCAGTGGGGAGGCTGTGCAGACCGAGGACACGGGGTTTTGGGTTGAAACTCCTCAGATTCTAAGTGCCAAGCACCCACTTCTTTCACCACTTCTCAAAGCTCGGAGTGGCTGTGGGAAGGGAGATGTTTGCTATTGGCTTTTTGCTCTCAAGTCCAACCGCCCCTGAATGTCAAGGGAACAGTACTGTGTCCATGGTAACATACCCATGTTCATCCGATACAACCGTACAGCTTCTGTGAGCTCAGGAATTTCCAGAATTTCTACTTCTGCTTCTAACACATCTATATTGGAGAAGTTGTCTGGTAGCAAAATCTTCCGTGAGCGGAGAAAATTCACTTGAAAAACAAAAGAAAGTAAAATGAGTTAACAGGTTATTTCTGACTTGTAGTTCCAGGTTTTGACAGGCCTTTGGTGCTGCAACTTATCCTAGGCTCTCCTTGTTCTAAAATAATTTCTAGACATACCTGGTTAGATTAACCATGAATCTCTGGTTTTCAAGGTGAGATCTCACATCATCTTTTTCCTGAGTCTGGGGGTGCTGATTCCGTGGCCTGGCTCCGAGTTCAAGCTAGTTCCCTCCTGGTGAGCACACTAGCCCTGAGACTTACCTGGGTCTCAACCCAAGAGCAGGTCATTCCAAAAGAGGGAGTGGTCTTGCCGCTTAGAGAGGGAGGGCCCGGCCCAGCCTGGGCTGGCAGGTGGCACTTGTGGTTTTTCCCTGCCTGGGCTGCAGTGTGGGAGGCAGAGATGGCGCCAAGCCAATGTCCTGTGTGAATTAACTCGGAGATTCAGAAGCATATCACAGACAACTTTCCAAATGATGCATATGAAAGCTGGGGTTCCAGCCCTTTGGGCCCCCTCTGCACTGGGTGAATCCTGCCCCATCAATTGGCAGCAGCATCTTGGAATCAAAGAGGTCATTCAGTTCCCGTCCCCACTAGAGTTAGTCCTAGGACAGTGATGGGAGGATCTCTCCTGGCTCATCCCTCCTTCAGCCACTAGCTTAAGTAGACCACACCACAGTGATTTTAGGGAACCTTTCACCAACCACCTTCCTCCCTCCTCTTTTATTATGAGTTAGTGAAAGTAAGAATAGGTAGGACCCATCCTTTGAAAACAACCCTATTTCCTCATTTTTGTGGTGAGAACATAAGCCTGGAGCTCAGTTACTTATGGACAGAGCAAAAATTGATGGTGCCTTTGGAGTCTGGTGCAGGGCTTAGCACTGCACACCAAAGCCTGTGGTCCTGACACCACCAGGAAGCTTCCAGTGGCTCCTTTACACCCAGACCATCTCCAAATGAATAGGGAATAAAATAGCCTGAGGCCAGTAGGAATCTGATACTGGGAATCCAAGGCCCTTCTGGAAGGATCTGTCATTCTTCTGTCACTCTTCCCAGTCAAACTCCTGAGGCCCAAGCACCAAGCTGGATCTCTTCCCTATGGAATGTGAGGTGGAGAGGGACAGAGGGAACCCTGGACCCCTCCACCGGATACCACCACACTGTCCTCCCACACCACCCCAGGATAGAGCAATCACCAATGAAGCGGAACTCGCTGCACTCGCACTCGACCAGGGCCACAGTCTCAGCCAGCCACAGCAGGTTGTCTTCAGTTACTAGGCTTGGATACTTGGTCACTAGGTCTAGGGGCAGGAAACAGTAGTGCACTTCCTCTTCCGTATCTAACAGTGGTGTGTCCATGAGCCCCAAAGGTGCCTTATCATGTAGGCCTGGAAGACAACATGTAGAGAGTGTCATCAGCTCCCGGAGGCTGGGACTTTCAGAGGTTAGTGGGGCCCTCGCTAACCCAGGTGACCCCATAGGAAGCTGGAGAGATCACCCTAGAGATGGCCCCTGCTGTCTTTTTCTTTTCAGATGTAACCCTTTGCTTTGACAGAAGCATGGGGAAACAGAGCATGGAAATCTCTTTCTTCTGCAGTGAAAGGTACTGGGACATGCTGTAACTCCTCACTTATACATCCAAAGCCATTAAATGCATATTGTTTACCTATTTGGTTCTTTCTAATGGATCTATGACCACGAGACAAAAATAGGTCAGTTTGACATTGTTTGAAGCTCACAACCCATCAATAATCATGAATAGCTATTCTAGTCTCAGGTAGGTTGACCTAGCCACAAGGCACCATTGGACAGTGATCAATGGGACATGCTTTTTGTGGTGGCTAAATGTGATTAAAAATGGTGCAATTCTCTGACTATCAGGAGGGGATGGAGTGCAGCCAGTATGCAGGAAATGAACACAAGGGAGGATGTTCCATTCTAGCAGGTAAGTGGCCCTGGGGAGGACTGGAGATGACAAAGCAGTAGAGAAAACCAGCAGGACTATTTCAGAAATCAGGGTCCTCTCTGGATGGAAGTCACTTCTGTTAGGATGAGAAGGAATACTGGTGTGGAACTTCTGGACTTCTGGAAGGGTCAGCCTGTGGTTATACCTGTGAAGGCCGGGCTTTTGATAGGAAACTCTGAGGGTTTGCTGATACACTTCCATGTCCTCCAGTAATTCAGAGATGCTCTCTCAGCAACTGGTATGTCAGCAGGCCGCACACGGAGATGGTGTTTCCCTTCCTTCAGATTATCTAGAGTCTATTAGACAAAGAAGGTTACTACCTTGAACATTTTAAACCAAATAACTATCTACCAATAGTAGAGCAAAAAATCAGGAAAAAAAATATTGTCACTTAATATGGTAAAGTGCTTTGAGATAAATTGAGTCAATTATAGTAGAAAGCAAATATTTCGGTCTAGAAGAGGACATGCTGATATTCAAATCTTCATGATTATTTCTCTTATTATTTTTGAAGCAATTTTGGTGGGTATTTTATGATGGTTAATAGAAGTTTACCTTACACAATGTAAAGAGTAATTTATACTTAATCACTAAAAACTTGAGATATGCTGCTACCATTTCCCTTCAAAGTTCAAAATCCTTTTCAACCTTTTCAATTGTTGTCTGCTTATTTTTTGATGCTTTTGCTAATCCCATGTAAGTAGGAAAATGGAGGTAGCAAAGGGTTCCATATTTTTCAAGTACTTTCACATACATTTGCTCATTTACACTGACACCTCTTTGTGAGACAGATGTGTGCATTCCCATTTTCTGATGAAGCAGTTCGGATCAAAGGAATTGTGACTCGCCCAAGCAACCTTCCAAGTCCAGAGTTCTCTGCTTAAAGAAAATGGTGGGTAGGATGGGTTGGGCTGGAGTGGAGCACCCCGGCTGGAAGGGCTGACGCCCAGGGAAGAGGGTGGCTGGCTGTCTTCATGCCACACTCACTCAAGGGCCCATCCTCCCTCAAAAGTCCTGTGTAGCAGGCAGATTATCTTAATATCAAGTCCATTTTTTCTGTCCCTACCTTAGAGAAAATCATTTTCCTAATAAATTGTTGGGGATAGGGACAAAAGTAATTCTGTAATGACTCAGTATGACCAACTCTTTTCTTGAGAGTCTCATAGTGGGCAGAACACATACTGATTCAGTATGAAACTCCTCTAAGAGCCTGCTCCCAGGTCCACAACTGAGGCTCTAGAGAAGTTGCCCATAGGAACACCCAATTTTGAAAAGAGCCCTCTGGTGGCTATAGCTGTAAACTGCATTCCCAGAGCTGCTCCTGGTCTATAAAAGGAGGGGAAGAGAGTGGAAGAATCTTCCTCTTTTCTGGGAGGCTGGTTGGACTTGTGGGAGGATTGGACAAATAGGGGTGTGTGTGATAGGGGGTGCTTCCAGGCACTGCAAAATGGGGGAGAATAGTGATGCATATGAAATACAGAAAGTCTTTGATTTATTTGAGAAATACTGAGTATAGCCATGGCCAGAACCAGACCCCATGCTTGGACTCAAGGAGATCTCAGCTTAGGAGAAAGACATGAAAGCCAACAATTTACATATACTGAGATAAAGGCCAGCATCATCCTAGGTGATGGCTTTTCAGAAACTCCAGGAACTCTGGGATTTCTTCACATAGCTTTAAATGATCCAAGACTTTTTGTCCCTTTTCACTGGGGCTATACCCAACTTTAACTTCTAAGTTAAATGATCAGCTACACTGTGGAAGGAAATCAGTCAAAAACAGGTTTTTGTGTGAGGGAGTAACTGTTATTGGATGAAGAGGAATAAAAATGAAGCACCAGGAAGGTGACTGAGAGGCTAGGCAGGTTCACATCAGTGAGTGGGCAGGCTTACCGAGTTAAGATAAGGGATAACAGCATGGCAGTATTTGTGCTGAGAAGTGAGACAAAGAAAGGAAAATGATGACTGTCACAGGAGTGACTGGACAGGGTGAGTACAGTAGATAGAGATGTAAACTGATCTGTGCCTCATGGGTCTATTTTGGGTGCAGGGAGAGAGGGAGGGGGATATAGGATGATAAACAAGAGTAAAGAGTGAATTTTGCTGAGCATAATCCCTTCCAACTTCATCCATGTTGCTGTGAAGGGCATGAGTTTATCCTTTTTGATTGCTGAGTAATATTTCATTGTGTAAATATACCACATATACACTGTACAAAAAGGAAAGATGATGTAATGAATATATAAAAAAATTTAAAAAAGGAAATACTGGGTCCTCCCTGGTGGCACAACGGGTTAGGATGCAGCACTGCAAGCTAGCTGTAGCCACTTCAGTGTGAGTTCGATCTCCAGCCCCAGAAGTGATCCACATGGTGCTGCAGACCTCTCCTGACTCCCCCACTTCCCTCCTGAATCCCCATTGCTCCCCTCAGCAGTGTACTTCATCGATCTGTCTGTTCTGTTCCCCACTCATTCTCTGGTGAATCCTCTTACCACCCCTGCACCTCTGGCTTGTACACCAGTTCTGTATGCATAAAGAAATCTTAAAAAAAAAAAAGAAAGAAAGAAAATGCCAAATATGCCACCAAAATTTATTAGAAACCTAAATGAATTCAGTGGCAGATTACAAAAATCACATACAAATCTCCACAGCTTTAAGAAAAAAGATTTACTTATGCTACAGAACTGGAATATAGCAGCCCCTGCCCAGGTCTTTTTTTTTTTTATTACAAAAGTTTATTTTTACATCATTTTGTATATATATTTTTTCCATCTCGATTGTAATCCCCACGGGTTTCCCATCACCAAATCACCCGTGTACCATCACCATAATCCCATGCATTTCTCCCCCCCCCCCATTTTTGATCCCATTCCCCACTCCACCCCCACAAAATGTCTCTGGTATATGGTGTTCATTATTTTTGTTATTTTCTCGCCTGGTCCATTATACTCCTGCTATGAGTGAAACCATCCGGTATTTTTCTTTCTCTTTCTGGCTTATCTCACTAAGCATGATCTTTTCCAGCTCCATCCAAGTTGCTGCAAAAGACATGTGTTTCTCTTTTTTGGTTGCTGAGTAATATTCCATTGTATATATGTACCACATCTTTTTTATCCAGGCATCTACTTTTGCCTGCCCAGGTACTTTTAAACTCTTAATGTCCTCTTAATGTCCTCCCACCCACATAGTAGTTTCCGGCATTGTCATTCCTTTTGAGCAAAAGGGAAAGACATTAGGAAACCAGGATCTAGAGTCTGCACTGTTAACCTCTGCTCTTAACTGGTTGTCTCCCACTTGTAGTTCTCTACAAGCCTCAGGGTCCTCCCATGCAAAGGAGAGCTAGTCAAACCTGGAAGGTATTATGAATCAAAGGAAGTCATGTAACTGCTAATGTCCTTCCCCTTGGTGGTCAGATTACAAAGCACCTCATCTTCCATTTTCTTCTGGCCTCACTATCTTCAGTGACACAAAATTCCAAAGACACACCATGGTCTTGATCCCTCTTCTATTTCATTTACGCTGTTCACTATGACCAGAATACTTCCCGCCACCCTTCTCTGAACAGCCTGGAGCATCCCTGTAGCCAGAGAAGTCATCTGTCTCCTCTGTTCAAACAGACCCTGCTTACTTCTCTCTCTGAGTCTCTGCCTTGGTTTCAGGCCTGTGCGCCCCACTATACTGAGGTGGAGGGGTTAGGCACATCCCAAACTTTTAAAAATTAATTAAAAAAATATATTTACATCATTGTTCATTTTTAAATGATGTTTCCTTCCCCCACAGGTGTAGACCCCACAGAATTTCGTCCCCCAACTTGTCTGAGCACCATCACCACAGTCCCCTATGCCCTCCCTCCATCCTTCTGCTCCCTTGCCCTCCCCTTCTCCTGCAGGATGTTTCTGGTTTATATTTGTCTGTTTTTGTTTTGTTCTATATTGCTAATATTTTCCCCTTATGTCTTAGTAAATTCCAAACTTGTATTCTAGAACCTAGTGTGTAGTAACTGCTGTTTTGGATGAAAGAGTGCATGAAATTGGAAGGCTGGGAGAATGAATTATTTGCAAAGAAAAGCAAAAAGAGACACTGAGAGCCCACAAGGAGTTGGCAGAGAAGCAGTATACATGAAAAAAACAAAAAAGATACTGAGTATCTGAAACCACAGGAAAAGCCAGCATAGGATTATAGTGGGTACAGCCCAGAGTTCAGAGGGCAGTGAAGACAGGGATTCCAGGTTGGGACTTGGGAGTCCAGCAAGAAGACAAGGAGAGAGAGACAGAGACAGAGGAGAGGGAGACAGGATGACAGAAGAAAGGGCTTACCTTGGGCTTGACTGGCGATGAAGAGAAAGACATTGGATGAAGTAGTGAGAAAAGAGTGAAATAGATCCTAAAAGAATCAATAAACCATTCCAGCCCAGGCTGAGCTAATCACAATTTAAACTTGCCACTTACTTCACCTGTAGATCCAAATCCCAAGATTCTACATCAGCAGAGGAAACGAGTGCCCCCGAATGACTGAATCGTCCACTGGGGAAAGCGTGTGTATGGGGGAAAAATTCCCATCTTGTAGAACAACCTGCTTAAGGATGGCCCTGGATGCCTTATCTGGAAGTATCATTTGGATTCCAGATGTGTCCTTTGGGACTGGTCAGTAATGATAGTCCAATGAGCTAGAGAGATGTCCTAGTTGCAGGGAGAACAACCTACTTTGTAAAAAGAAATCTCCATTTCCTGCTACTTCCACTAATGTAAAGTGTGAGCAGTATCATTTTTCTTAATAAAGGGTGTTTTTTTTTAAGATTTATTTACTTATGCATACAGAACTGGGGTGCAGTCCAGAGGTGCAGGAGTGGTGAGAGGATTCACCACAGACAGAGGAGGGAGCAGAACAGGCAGACTGACAAAATACACTGCTGAGGGGAGCAGCAGACGAGACAGGAGAGGTCTGCTGTGCCATGTGGGTCACTTCCCTGGTCTGTGATTGAGCTCACACCGAGGGGGCTGCTGATAGCTTCACAGTGCCATACACTTTAACCTGTTGTACCATCAGGGCAGACCCAATAAAGGTATTTTTGACAATCTTAAAAAGGAAGAAACACCCAATAAATACACAAAGATTGTTAAGTCCTGCCATTCAAGCCATCATACATACTTAGCCCAGAAGTTTCAACTAGATTGTTTTCTAAATTCTCTCAGCCAATCTTTGCTTTGACCTCTAGAAATACAAGGCCTTCTACTCACAGGAGATGATTTCAGTACAGGAAGAATGCACAGAAATCACTCCTTACTCCCTAATGCTGCCTTATTATTCTCAACAGCACCTATTTATTTACAGTCTGTCAGTCTTGCCTAAGATGAAGGGGGTCTTGGATGACCCTACTTGTTTTGTTCTCTGCTGTATTTGCAACCTACAGCAATGCCTGTGGAGCTTGGTATGTTTTGTGGAGGGAGTGAATGAACAAATAACATTCCAGAGAGTCTAGGGTTCCAGATGTCCTTTGGCCTTGCTGACTGAAGTCACCACAGAGTGTGTATGCTGGTCTTCTATAGCCTGATTTAATTTACTTCTGTCCACACAAATATTACTTCCAGCATGTTTATGCTTCATATGGTATGACACAGAAAATTACATGGGGGAGTATTTCTTTAGGAAAATACAGGCCTGAATTCAGATGGCTAATTATAAGCATAAGGATAATTAATGTTGTTTTTGGATTAGACAGCAGTGAAAAAATATGTCAATCGCAAGCAGTATAAGACTGATGGCATGGGGGTGAGTGTGTGTGTGTGTGTGGCTGCCAAAAGACAGCTTGCAAATGCACTTTGCTAGCACAGCTCTGAGTCTTGATTGAGCTTTTCCAAAACAACAGTAGTTCTGAGATGCTTTCTGCTTATATGGGATGTTGGAAGGAACAGGATGATAAACAGTTGGGGAGCTTGCACATCTCTACTTGCTTTGTAAAATCAAGGTGAGCCAGCACCATTTTGAAACTCAAGGGAAGCAAGCCTGGTAGAACAAAAGGATAAGCAGAATAACTGTTATTAGCCCAAAAAGCCAAGTAAAACACAGCTCTTAGGATTTCAAACCTGCCCCCTTCACTGCTGGCCAGCTCTAGTCTCTTCAGCCTAGAGAAGTAGATTCAGCATTCAGCTAGGTCACTCAAAAATCTCTCACATTTAGTGCTGGCAGGATTTTGCCCTTGGAAAATGAAGATGAGTTTTCTGTTGATGGCAAGTTTCCCATTCTCAGCCTTGACTGCTCCAGACCTTGCCATAGGTAGAATCATACTGGATCATGCAGACCATGTAGCTGAGGTCAATGAAGGAATCATGAATGGTAACAATATCCATTTTGCTATAGTTAAAAGTAGCCCTGATGACCAGTCACTTAGTCTGGTCAAATCGATTAACCATGTTGTCTCAGGGATGCAGCTGGAACAAGAAAAGGCAGCAGTCAAAGGAGGAACAGAGAGCCTAGGACTTTTTAGAAAAACATGGCTGCTAGAAAATTTAAACTTGGCTTACATAGGTGGCTTGCATATTTTTACTGGATCATCCTAGGTTTTTCCTAAAACTAGGGAAATTTCATAAAAATAGTGTCTGGTGCTCAGAATGTTCTCAATAAATGCTGGCACTAAGTTGGAAAGCCTGAGAAAAGCCACTAAACTAAGAATTAGCAAACTTAATTTTTTTCTAAGCAAAGTGTGTTTCGGCAAGAACCTGAGTATCTGGGCAGACCTTACCAATCTGGAACATGATAGAACTGTGTGAGGCTAAGGTGGCAACTGATTCTACAGCTGTATTTACTCTTCCAATGAATAAACACCACTTCAGCTGGGCCTGCCCAAATGTTTATTTATTTAAAAACACAACTTGCAAAACACAAGCACTTGTTCCACAGTCTGTTTTAGGGAGGCAGATTCACACTATTATTCAAATACTTGTACTGCTCATACAACTGGAACTTTGGAACTGAGTCAACGCCTTGGTCTCTTAGTTATTATTTTCCATTTAGAAATAGCTAAAGATCTATTTTGTTTCAACTGGGGAGTGTGGACAGTAAATTAGAGGATTTGATAAACTGCTTATATAATTGGCTTGTATTCTTTAAAATGATTCATCCAAAAATTGTCTTGATCTCTGATTTTCCGCAATGAATAAATTGCTCCCTCCTTTTGCTCACAATATGGCCTCTTTTGCCCACAATATGGCACCTTGGCATAGAAATCAGCAGGTCTGAGATGCCAGGTATTAAAGTGACTTTTAAGTCTCCTGTAAGCAATTCTATTATACCATTCCTGAAGCAGCTGAAAAAGAAATTTTTTTTTTGAGGTCGGTCTCTTTGAAAATAAAGGGGAAAAAAAGGAACAATTACTACAACACGTGCAGGAATATGTTATGGGTTTTGATTTCCAAATAACTTTTTTTTTTTAAAGATTTATTCATACAGAGCTGTGGTACAGGCCAGAGATGCGGAGGGTGAGAGGATTCACCAGGGACAGAGTGGGGAGCAGAATAGGCAGATCGACGAAGTCTACTGCAAAGGGGAGCAGCGGGCGGGTCAGGAGAGGTCTGCCATGCCATGTGGTCACCTCCGGGGCAGGCGGGGATCAAACTCATGTGTAAGTGGCTTAAGCTTCTTAGTGCAGTGCTTTAACCCGCTGCGCCACCAGGGAGGGCCCAAATAACTTTTTAAAAAATATTTATTTATTTATGCATACAGAACTGTGTATAGGCCAGGGGTGCAGGGACAGTGAGAGGATTCATTAGAGACACAGTAGAGAACAGAATAGTCAGATCGACTAAAATATACTGCTGAGAGAATCAGCAGGTGAGAAAGGAGAGGTCTGCTGCACTATGTGGGTCAGCAACCTGGTCTGGGATCGAACTTGTGCTGAAGCAGCTGTGGCTAGCTTTGTAGTGTTGTGAATTAACCCATTGTGCCACCAGGGAGGGCCCAAATATCTAACTTTTAAGGGAAAACACTGAATTATCTGGTGAGGAGTATCCATAAAAACATGCTTTATGAAGTCCTCATTCCTATATAACCCAGATATGCACGGTTTATCTCAATTTTCTCCTAAGAGATGTTGGGAAGGCAGAGCTGTTAGTGCACTGAGCTGTACTCTAACTTGTTGGGACAGTGCTGATGGAGAGGAAGCAACCAATGCCTTGTTCAGACAGTGGGATTAATATGAAAGACGGCCAATCCCAGTAATAAATAATATGGCCTTCCCAGCAATAATATTTGAGTTCTTTCTTGCTTAAAAAAAGGTCATTGTTCAAAAACTAAAAATAAACTACTTAAGACATAGACATGTTGATTTCTTTAGTTTGGAGAAAATTTAGGAAAGAAAGTAATATTCTTTGATTATACTTTAGTAGCCTATAAGAAAAGATATTTAAAGCTCTTTGGCCCTCCCTGGTAGTGCAAAAGTTGTTAAAGCACAGCACTAGGAAGCTCTCTGCAGCCATTGCAGCATGAGTTTGATTCCCGGCCAGGGAGGTGACCCACAGGACGCAGCAGACCTCTCCTGACCCACCTAATGCTTCCTCAACAGTGTATTTCAGTAGATCTGCTCCCCACTCTAATTCCCGTGAATCCTGTCACCCTCCACACCTGGCATCCATGCATAAATAAATATTTTTTAAATAAATAAATAAATCTCTTACTCACAACTCGAAAAACAGAGATGTGAATTGGCAGTAGGAAGTCCACAGTGATTACAACTGAGATGAAAAAATGTACAAAATGAAGAATGATGTAAAAAAATATTTACAAAAAGAAAAACAGATGTGAAGACAATGAAGAGATTCTGTAGTTTGGGTGATTCTCTGTGTTACCATAAATAAATCTATAACAGGTACAATGAGAAGTTAACAATATGATGGATCTTTTAGATTTTAAATCTCAGACTAGATGTACATAGACAATTCTACTGTTTCAAAAACTTTCTCCTCTTCAAATTTAATAATGAAAGCAAGAATGCTATTCACAACATCGATGGAGCTAGAAGAGATTGTGCTTGGTGAAATAAGCCAGAAAGAAAAAAATTTTCAAGTGGTTTTTCACTTAAGGAGGAACATAGGGGAACCAAATAAGGACTCAGGAAAAAAAATAATTAGCAGGCCACTATTAAGTTAGGGACATTCTGTAAGGGGGGGGGGAATCAAACAGGGAGAGAAGAGCACATGGTGATGGAGCACGGGAGAATCGGTGGTGGGAATTTTATGGGGAATATGTGTGAAAGGAGAAAATATAGAAGCATGCATTGTAAAAAATTAACAATGATGTAAAAATATATTGAGACAAATACATAGGTTAATTTTTTTAAAAAGCAAAAGCTTCAGTTGGAATCTACAAGCATTAAGGGTACCCACTCAGGGGTGGAAAGTCCCGTCCTGGGTCCCCTGGTGGCTGCTGGCATAGGTAAGGCAGTCAGGAAGAAATCCTTTATTCAGAACATGCAGTAAAGTGTATTGTTTATTACTTTAACTCATATCACATTTGCCCATTAAGGGGGCCATCTCAGAACCAATCTATAATAAAGGACAAAATATTTAGTGATGTAAAATGTTACATACATGTAAGATGTATGTTACTTACATACATGTAAGTGATCATCACTCACTCCTGCAAAAGAAGAGAATCTTACCTGTAGCAAAGGCATCAGCTGCAAACCCAGTGCTTGTTCATAGAGCAAGTTCAGTTCTGCACAGCTGGAGAAGGAGAGTTTGGAGGTATAGAGATAATAGTGCACATGCCTAAATGTGGAACCATCTCTGTCGATGAATAACCTCTGGCTTTCTGAAGAGGTCAAGGCTGAAGCCTCTTTCCACAGCAGAGAGTCTGGGAACTGAGTGAGCTTGCTTCTGGGAACTGAGAAATGCCAGCCCCCAACATTGAAATGAAATAGATCCTCTGCTGATTCATGAGGCATGCCAGACTCCTCCTAAAGGGTGAATAAAAGAGAACAGTGCAAGAAAAGGAATTAAAACTCACATGTATTGAAAAGGAAGAAGTAAAACTATTTGTATATAATGTGATTTTGCCTATAGAAAATTCCAAGGAAGTTGGGGCTTCCCTGGTGGAGCAGGGGTTAAAGTCTCAATGCTATCAAGCTATCAAATCGCTACTGTGACATGAGTTCAGTCCCCAGCCAGGGACCAGGGAGCTGACATACATGGTGTAGCAGACCTCTCCTGCCCACTGCTCCCCTCAGCAGTGTATTTCAGTGGATCTGCCTGTTCTGTTCCCCACTCTGTCTCTGGTGAATGCTCTCACCCCCCCCACACACCTCTGGCTTATACCCCAGTTCTTATATGCATAAATAAGTAAAATAAATCTTTTTTTTTAAAGAAAAGAAAATCCTAAGGAGTCCACTAGGAAATTATTATAAATGAATTCAACAGGGCTGAAGAGTACAGACTGATATTAAAAATAACTTACATTTTGATACACTAGCAATCCAAAAAATGAAATAAAAAAACAATAGTATCAAAAAAAAAAACAAAATAACCAGGAATAAATTAAACAAAGTGTCATATTTGTACCCTGAATACTGCAAAACATTGTTCAGAGAAATTTTAAAAGATCCAAATATATGGGATAACATCCCATGTTCACATATCAGATGACTCGAGGTTGTTAAACATGGCAATACCCTCCAAATTAACCTGCAGATTCAACACAATCCCTATAAAACCCCCAGATGATCTATATTCCTGCAAAATGGACAAGTTAATATTAAAATTCACAAGAGACCCCAAATCATCCAAACAATTTTTAAAAAGGAGAACAAAGTTTGATGATTCACAATTCCCATTTTCAAACTTATTATGAAGCTACAGTAATTCAGTGTGCTACTGGCATAAAAGTAGACATTTAGATAAGTGGAATAGAATTGAGAACCCAAAAATAGGGCCTTCTCTGATGGTGCAACGGGTTAGGAGGCTGCACTGCAAGCTAGCTGCAACCGCTTCAGTGAGAGTTCCATCCCCAGCCCTGGAGGTGATGCACATGGCGCGGTAGACCTCTCCTGACCTGCCCACTGCTCCCCTCAGCAGTGTGCTTCATTAATCTGCCTGTCCTGCTCCCCACTCTATCTGGTGAATCCTCTCACCACCCCTGCACCTCTGACCTATATCCAGTTCTGTATGCATAAATAAATAAATCTTAAAAAAAAAAGATTTAAGAGCCCCAAAATAAACCCTTAACTTGTGGTCCATTGAATTTTGATAATGGAGCAAAAACAATTCAATGGTAGAAAAAACTCGTTTCAAAAATGCGTGGACAACTAGACATCCACATGCAATAAAACAAATAGGATGTATTGATGAGTATACAGAAGAAAGAAGGATGTGTTAAAACATACAGTCAGTTGCTAATTGTAGGATCTAGGTGATTGCTATACAGTGCTCTTTGTGCAATTCTTTCAGTCTATCTCATGTGTGTACATGTGTGTGAAGAGTGTTAAAGAAACAATTGCTCAAGAGAGAAAACATCCTCTTTTCCAACAAAACCTATTTTAACAGCTGAGGAAGGAAAATAAATGTATGCAATAAAGGAGGCGATGAGTTCTTAGAGTAAGCCTGTTCCAATTAATTCAGATTTAGAGAGGAGCAAATATATGCCACATGTGACGCTAGAAGAATTATAGACAACATGAGAAAATTACAAATGCAAAATGATGTCAAGACTCACAGAAGCAGAGATGGAAATGATTACCTAATGAGCTAATCCAGGTTTCTGATTCCTGGTCCTTCTACTGGTGACTAAAGCTTGACATGACAAGCTGAGAGTAACCAAGCGCCCCCTCTAGAACAGAAAGCAAGGACGCTTGATTTTTGCCATCTATTCTTCTCAGAAAACCCGTTTCTTGAGTGTGAGCTATGGTTCTGGTCCCAGTTCCTCTTCTGTTACTAAGGCTGGGGTTTGACAGAGGGTCCTGGCTCAAGACTTTGCTTCCTTTACAGATGGCTCTCAAGAGGAGTCCAGATTCATCCCAGCCTGTGAGAGTACTCAGTCACAGGCCAGTATGCAGGTCTGTAGTACTTGCAGGAAGGCTTTTTTGCTAGACTGACTTCAGGAAATGGGATATCCCTAGATAGTCACCCCCTCTTCCACACAGATCCCTCTACTCCAAAAGAGCACCTTCCAACTCAATTTAGAACCATCTAGACTTAGACTTAGAACCAAGCTAGACTTAGAACCAAGCTTTTGAGACACGACCCCAGGACCAAGTGCCAGATCTGGAGTTTCCCATCATACCCAGAGAGCTGCCTCCCCACCTGCAATACCCTTCCCCCTGCTCGCACCATCCCCTCCCTGCCTTAGCTCTGCATCCCCTCACCCACCCGTCTGTCCAGGGCGTGCGTGCCTCAAGAGTCATATCTCCCAAGCAAGGAGATGTGAAGACCGTCAAGCGTCAAGTTGCACATCTCAACCCCTCAGATCAGGAGTCTCCCAAAGCCGCAAAACTAGAACACGGCATCCCTCAAAGTAGGTAAGAACTTCAAACTCCTCAGTCAGGCAACCCTTCAAAGATATCCCTTAGCCCCACGCGCCAGAGCCAGGTCCCAGTTACCCACAGTCCTAATCCTTGACCACAACGACCCCTATTCGTCATTTTAGTGCTTTTGGCGCCCAAACCAAGGCTGGTTTCCTACCATGGTCAGGCTCCAGCGGCGCGAGGGCAGGCGCGTGACCCGACAATAACGGTCCCTGGGAGCTCCGCAGAGCGCGCGGCGGTGCGGGGCCTGGCAGGGGACCAGGGGCGGGGCTTCATCTGGGGGCGGGGCATGGTGCTAGGGGCGGGGCTCGCGCGAACCGGTCTCGCGGGAGGCGGCAGGTGAGCGGCGCCGCGGACGCGCGAGGATGGCGGAGCAGTGGGATTTGGACGAGGAGGGCATCCGCCGCTTGGGGTCACTGACCCTGGAGCAACCCGGTAAGGCCAGGTCGGAAGGGCCTGGGCCGGGAGCGCGGACTTTGAGGCTGAGGAGAGAAGCTTGAGTTGGAGGCTGGGGAACCTGAGGCAGAGGCGGGCGAACCTGAGGCAGAGGCGGGGGAACCATGGCCGCGGCGCAGCGGCCCCTGAGGCGAAGGAGGGACATTTCGGCTACAGAGTGGGAATTGAGGCAGAAAATTGATTCTGAAGTGAAGGTGGAGGAACTGAAGTCACAGGGGAGCCTGAGGCAGGGGAATTGAGGAGCGGAGTGTGAAGTGGAGAAAAGGAACATGAATAAGATTAAGAAAAGGCGAGGTCACACAGAACTGGACAGTGTGAACTGGTGCAAGGAAACTGAACCCCACAAGGGCCATTGGTGGGAGAAGGGCGCTTGAGGTGGGGGTGCTGTTGAGGCGGCACCGGGAGCGCTAACGTGGGCAGTACTTGCAGCTTCCTACCTAGGAGGCTTGCTCTGGTCGGCTTCAGATGGGAAAGGATTTTCTTTCACAAGTCCGTTGCTCTGTCCACCCTGCGCCTCAAGAGCGTAGTCATTTTTCTGATCCTTCTTGACGTGTAGCTGCCTCCCGAGAGATGCTCAGTGGCCTGATGTAGCCGCGGTCGCTCAAGGTGTTAGGTGTGAGCCCCAGCCCTGACTCGACACTCCCGTGGAGGTAAAACCCGAGTGACCTGGGCTTTGACTCTCACAACTTGCTCCCTTGAGTTTCTGAGGAGTAAAAATTTTGGCCAAGTTTTCAGCAGCATTATTTCAACTTTTACTCTCCCTAAATTCACGATGTCATTGATGCCAGGTCCTGGCACTATTTAATCCCGATAGTAAGCCTATGGAGCAGATGCTGTTATTGCTTCCATTTTTAGATGAGTAAAGTTATATTTAGAGTCTTGCACAGCCCGAAGTGATGCAGCCAGGATTTATTAACTCACGATTCTGATTTCAGAGTGTGCCCTAAACATAACAAGAAGCTTTCTTTCTTTCTTTCTTCTTCTAGCATTTTATATTTGTGGGCTGTTAAATGACTTGGTTTATATGAGTCGTTATATGAGTCGTTTTATTTTAAATTATTTATTTAAATTTATCAAAATTAGTGCTTTGTAGTAACAACTATTACATGTGAGAATAAAGCAAGTTTTCCTGGCTCTGGAAACCCTTCTTCATCCCCCTTCAGATAACCAGAAATAATGGTTTAGTGTGAGTACAAACTGATGTAGATAGTTCAAGTTTAATTATTCTTTACCAGACACTTTCAAAAGTGTTTGAAAACACTATTTTAAAGGTTGTTTAAGAAAAGCTGTGTTAAACTGACACATTTTTGCACCTTTTTTTGCATTTTTTAAAAATAAAAACTAGTCAGTTTGATTTTGGAGGGGGCTCACAGACCTTTCATTTTCCAGTTAGAACAGTATGTGGCAGATTTTTTCATTAGTTTTATTTGTTTGCATCCATTAAATCATTTTAATAACAAAATTGTGCACACTATTACAATTCAAATAGTACAGAAGGATTAAAATAAAGAATATTCTTGCTTTCCCTCTTTCCATACCTTTCCTATTGCTTTTACAAATATACACTTACATATTTTTTTCACTTACATTTTTTAAAAAAGAAATACAGCATTAAAAAATATAGCATATATGTAATTTGTCTTTTAAGGAAAATACATGTTACTACTAATGTAAGGTAATGTAATGTAAGGTAGAGAGTTTACAATTAAATGATTTTTCTGGTGTGTGCATTATAAACTTCTGTAAAAATCACACTGGTCACCTTTGGTGAGAGCTTTTTTTTATTCTGTACTTCCCTGTACTGTTGGAATGGTCTGGCTATGTAATAAGTATTACTGACTTAAGTGTTCAAATGGAGAATCTTGGTGCAATTATTTTTGTTTTCTTTTTCATATTTCTCTCTACTAAAAAATTCCAGTAAATCTTTATATTGTTCCTTATCATGCAGAAAATTTTCACCTTATGGTAGTTATGTATTTTTTTTTAAGATTTATTTATTTATGCATACAGAACTGGGGTACAGCCAGAGGTGCAGGGACAGGAGAGGATTCACCAGAGACAGACTGGAGAGCAGAATAGGCTGGCTGAGGAAGTACACTGCTGAGGGGAGCAGCGGGTGGGTCAGGAGAGGTCTGCCATGCCATGTGGGTAAAAGATTTATTTATATGTGCATATAGAGCTGGGGTACAGGCCAGAGGCTCAGGGGCAGTGAGAGGCTTCACCAGAGACAGAGTGAGGAGCAGAACAGGCAGATGGAGGAAGCACACTGCTGAGGGGAGCAGCGGGCGGGCCAGGAAAGGTCTGCCGCGCCATGTGGTCCCCTCCGGGGCAGGCGGGAATCGAACTCATGCGGAAGCGGCTTTAGTTTCTCAGTGCAGTGCTTTAACCCACTGAGCCACCAGGGAGAGCCACTAAGTTTATTTTTATAATATGATTTGTATTTTTTATGTCTTATTTATGAGAATTTTCCCTATATTGATGTAAGTGGTTCCTGTACTATTTTCCCTAAAAATTCTGCTGCCTTGGTTTTTATATTAAGTTTAATCTAACTTGAGTTTATTTTTAAAGATTTATTTATTTATGCATACAAAACTGGGATACAGGCCAGAGGTGCAGGGGCAGTGAGAGGATTCATCAGAGACAGAGTCAGGAGAAGAACAGGCAGATGGACTGAAATACATGACTGAAGCAAGCAGGGGGCAAGACATGAGAGGTCTGCTGCGCCATGTGGGTCACCTCCCTGGCTGGGGATTGAACTCATGCTGCTAGTAGATGTGGATAGCTTCATAGCGCTACAGTTAACCCCTTGTGCCACCAGGGAGGCCTCCTGGAGTTTATTTTTAAATATGATGTGTAATATATTATAATTGTATTTTTTTCACTGGTAGCCAAATTCCTCACAACTGATTTGTAGTGGTATATTTGCTATTTAAGTTCCTCTGTAAACAGGTGTCTATCTCTAGACTAGCTGTTCTATTGTATTTTATCTATTCCTGTACCAGTATCACACTTTTGTAATTACCATGGCTTAACAGTCAGTTTTAATACCAAGTGAAGCCTGTGCCCTTTCTCACTTTACCTTCTTTTTTTCTCCTTCACAATTGTGTTGGGTTATACTTACCTGGTAGAGAAGATACCATGATCACAGAATTGTGTGGGGTATTCTTGGGCCTTTATTCTCTCTCTTTTTAAAGATTTTATTTATTTATACATACAGAAATGAGGTACAAACCAGAGGTGCAGGGGCAGCACCTCTGGAGTGGTGGGTAGGCGGGGAGAAGAACAGGCAGATGGATGAAGTACACTGTTGGGGGGAGGAGTAGGCAAGACAGGAGAGGTCCACTGCACCATGTGAATCACTTCTGGGGCAGCGATCAAACTTGCCCTGCAGTGGCCATGGCTTGGCTTAGCTTTGCAGTGCAGTGCTCCAACCTGCTACACCACCAGGGAGGGCCCCTTTATTATCTCTTAAGAATTTTTTCAGGACCCTCCCTGATGGCACAGTGGGTTAAAGCACAGCACTTCAAGCTAGCTGCAGCCTCCTCAGTGCGAGTTCAATCCCAGGCCTTGGAGGTGATCCACATGGTACAGAAGACCTCTCTCGTCTCACCCAGCAGTACCCTCAGCAGTGTACTTCATCACTCTGCCTGTTCTGCTCCCCACTATGTCTCTGGTGAATCCTCTTACCACCCCTGCACCTCTGGCTTGTACCCAGTTCTGTATGCATAAAAAAAATAAATCTTTTTTAAAAAAGAATTTTTCAATCAGGTTGTCAACTTCCATTAAAGTATTTTAAACAGAAATGTGACCTGATCTAATACTGATTTTTAAAACATGGCTCTCACTCACTAGAAACCTGCAATAATAGTAGCCCAGATACTAGATAATGAATGGCGTAGACTAGGAGGATAACAATGGAGATTAAAAGAAGACAACAAAATTTAAGTATATTTTATAGACAGGTAATATGGGACTTACAAAAGAATGTATTGTGGAAGATGAATAAAAGATTCAAATATAACACTTAGTCTTGGTTTAAGCTATTGCTTGGTGGATGGTGGTGCTATTTAGAGAGCGAGAGAATAAGGATTATGAGCAAAACAGTTTTGGGGCAGGGGAATGAAAAGCATGTTAAGTTTAAAATACTTATTGGACACTCATACATGAGTGATTTCATAAGTATTTGGACATGGGAGTCTCTCAAGGAAAGGTCAGGGTTAAAGATATAAAACTTAGAGACATTAGCAAATAGGTGCGATTGAAAACCTGGAGAGTGGATGAATTCCCCTAACTAGAGAATGTGGATGGAGAACAGAAGTTTTAAGACTCAGACAGGATTTCAGTGTTTAGAGTTTGAAGAGAAAAGGAGGAGGAGCGTGGTGTCAGGAGGAGGAATGTGGTGTCAGAATGTGTATCAAGGAAATTAGAACAGTTAGCTGTGCCACATGCTATTAAAGTCCAAGCAAGCTAAATAAAGAATGCCTGTTAATTTGGCAAGATATAACTTCTTGGTGACTTTGGCAAAGGGAATATTGGTAGAATGGGGAGGGGGGATGTCAGATTGGGATGAGATAAAAAGAGAATGATATATGGGGAAGAAAAGATGGTGCAGGTAAGAACTTTTGCTGAGAAATTTGGCATTCAAGGAAAATACAGAAATGGAGTGTTAACTGGAGGAAATGTGGGTTCAAGAACAGTTTTTTTTTTTAAAGATTTATTTATTTGTGCATACAGAACTGGGGTATAGGCCAGAGGCTCAGGGGCGGCGAGAGGCTTCACCAGAGACAGAGTGGGGAGCAGAACAGGCAGATCGCCGAAGTACACTGCTGAGGGGAGTAGCAGGTGGGTCAGGAGAGGTCTGCCGCGCCATGTGGTCACCTCCAGGGAGGCAGGGCTCGAACTCATGCAGAAGTGGCTTAAGCTTTTTAGTGCTGTGCTTTAACCCACTGCGCCACCAGGGAGGGCCAGATAACTCTTTA